CAGATTTTGTTCAATTTCATGCTTTCCTCCTTTCTGTTGAAATTGTTCACATGCTTGTGGATTTCAACAGCAAACACCACCCAGCAAAGGATTCCTCCAGGTAGGAAACCTACAAAACCTGTCTTGTTCGTAACTGCCTGTACATGAACTATCAGAAGATGAAATCCCTCTTTTGCCACCCTCCCGAAAATACGATTGAGGTTCGCTCTTTAATATTTGTAGTGTAGTAGGAGTGGCCTTACTGGTTAGTTTTCACTTATCTGTTTTATGCTTTTGAAATTCCTATTCCCATTATTGCTGTTGTGAAGGCCTACTGTACCTTTTCTGCTTACATGTTTTTGGGTCTAAGGCTGGATCTACACAGCCCTATATCCCAGGCTCTGATCCCAGATTATCTGCTTTGAACTGGATTATATCATCATCATCATCAACTTTATTTTTAGACTGCCCTATCTCCCCAGGGGGGCTCAGGACAGTTTACACATACAGAGGCAAACGTTCAATGCCTGACATATAGCAAAACATTATAGCAAAGAACACAATGCAAAATAATAACAGCATTATACTAATCAAATAAAATTAAATATCAAAATAAAGACATAAAATGGCTGACATATGAGTTGATATATGAGTCTGACAGATAATTTGGGATATAGAGCAGTGTAGAAGGGGCCTAAAATTTTCCTTCCATGGGTGGAAGGTCAGCAATAATGGGGGAATCCCACTCAATTATTTTTCATGCTTTATTCATGGGTTATTATACCCTTTATTTCACCCTTTATTCATGGGTTATTCATGTCCCCCTCCATGGACTATGTACAGGGGACATGAGAGATTGCTGTTGAGTATGAGAATTTCAGCTAAGCATCTATTAGATTTAGGACCCTTCTACGCTGCCAGATAATCCAGATTATCAAAACTGATAATCTACATTATCTGCTTTGAACTGGATTATCGGAGTGTACAAGGGATCTTCATTGAGTTGTTGCAAATTGCATTTTTAAAAATGGATTTTTCATGCATTCCACAATTTATAACCTACCCATCCCACCCCAATCCACAGTCATGTATATATGTATCTCCTATTTGATAGACATCAAATACTAGACTCTGGTTGTTGAAAGCATATACCATAATGCATTTGATAGCCTTTAAACCTTTAATACCTGGAAGAGTGACAGATCACCCCATCCTGCTTTAAGGTAACAAAGCACTTTGTAGCACTTTGTTATTTTGATTATAATATACTAAGATAGTGACATTTCCGATACAGTGGTTGTTACAACAGCTGGTGATGATTCAGGTGGACGATGAGACTGGATCTACATTGCCAAATAATCCAGTTCAAAGCAGATAATCTGGATTTTATATGGCAGTGTAGATGGGACCTGATAGGCAAATGTGATGTGAAAGAATATAGGTACTATTCATGAACTTGTCTGTAGGGCTTATGAAACCATCTGACAAAAGGAAAAATCTTTTTTCAGGGCTGTCCCCAAAGGGTAATAACTCCTCCAGAGTGATATGTGCACGGCTTTTAAATGTGACCTTTAAAACAGGCTCTGAAAAGCCATTTATTTGGAGTTGCTTTCTCTTAAAGGAATAACATTACTACAAATGTGAAAGTGTTTTAAATGGTTTCTAATTTTGTCGTGACATATTACTGGCTGTTTTATGTTGTTTTTATTAAGGCAAGACAGTGTTTTCTCTTATGGCTTTTTCATGTAAGCTGCCTTCATAAATGTTTTTGCCCTAAAAGGCCATATACGAATATTTAATATGAAGAAAGGAATGGGTGAATGATAGCATTGGGAACCATGCTGTGAGTAATAGCAACAACCTAGCACATAGGTAGAATGAGAAAATGATCCACATCTGGAACGGGATTGAAATTCCATTGAGTTGAAAACATGGGGGCTGCGATAAAGAAGATGTGAGCTGATTCGTTGGTCTAGACCAGGGCTTCTTAAACTTTTTCCACTCATGAAACCTTTCCATCTGATAATTTTTGTCATCCCAGTTATATAGTTATAGAGAATAGGTATAGGAATCAAACATTCACTGATAGCAAATCAGCATTTGCAAGGTTTGCTAAACAGTCCAGTTTTTCTTTTTATGAAGTGCAGCTGAAGAACCTTCTGCATTGTCCACTGTAAACACAGCACAACAGATTAGTTTAAATGCCTAAAAAAAATCCATGAGGTGATGTTCAGAAAACTTTTACTGTTGGCAATTTTTTTGAACCCCAGCATTAACCCCATTTGCAGCCGGGACCCATAGTTTAAGAAGCAGTAGTCTAGAATCTATGTTCAAGTGGATGGCTAGATCAGGCCTATATTTTATATCATAGTATCATTGTGTTGAAAGATACCACATGGGCCATCCAGTCTAACCCCTTGCCATGCAGGAAAAGCACAGTCAAAGCACCTCTGAAAGATAACCATCCAGCCTCTGTTTAAAAATACCAAAGGATGAGCCTCTACCACACTCCCAGCCAGAGAGTCCCACTGTTGAACAGCTCTTACAGTCAGGAAGTTCTTTCTAATGAAAAAATTAGAATCTCCTTTCTTGTAATTTGAACCCATTGCTCCAAGTCCTAGTCTCCAGGATAGCAGAAAACTTCAACTTCCTTATGATAGCCTTTCACATATTTATTTATTTATTTACTTTACTTTACTTGTATACCGCAGTTTCTCAGCCCAACAGGCGACTCAACGCGGTTTACAACAAGGATAAGAATCAATCAACGATATACAATTTAAAACCATAAAAGCATAATATACAATATTGACACAACAATAGACAACACAATGCATCTCATAACTAGAGTCGTGATCCAATTCGTCGTCCAATTTTCCATTCCTGTAATCATCACATTCATTGCACTGTTTAACCGAATGCCCGTTCAAACATCCAAGTTTTTAATCTTCTTCGGAACACCATTAGCGAGGGGGCTGATCTTACCTCCATAGGAAGGGCGTTCCACAGCCGGGGGGCCACCACAGAAAAGGCCCTGTCTCTCGTCCCCGCCAGCCGCACCTGTGAAGCAGGCGGGATAGAGAGCAGGGCCTCCTCAGAAGATCTTAGGGTCCTGGCGGGCTGATAGGCAGAGATACGTTCAGGTAGGTAACTTGCGCCAGAACCGTTTAGGGCTTTATAGGCCAATGCCAGCACTTTGAATTGAGCCCGGTAGCAAATCGGCAGCCAGTGGAGCTGGTGAAGCAGAGGAGTTGTATGCTCCCTGCGCTCCGCTCCTGTTAGTATCATGGCTGCCAAGCGTTGGACTAGCTGGAGCTTCCGAGCCGCCTTCAAAGGCAACCCCACGTAGAGCGCGTTGCAGTAGTCTAGACGGGATGTAACCAGAGCATGGCAATCATATCTCCTCTCAGTCTTATCTTCTGTCAGCTAAACACACCCAGTTCTTTAAGCTGCTCTCATAGGGCATGGTCTTCAGACCTTTGATAATTTTAGTCACTTGTCTCTGGACATCTTCCAGCTTGTCAATAGCTCTCTTAAATCATGGTGTCCTCTATTCCAGGTGAGGTCTGATCAAACTAGAATAGAAGGCCACAGTTACTTTCTTTGATCTAGACACTTACCTCATTGGCTTTTTAAGCTGCTGCATCTCACTGTTGGCTCATGTTCAGTTTGTTGTCCACTAAGACTCCAAGATCTTTTTCACATGGACTTCTGTCTAGTCTAGACTTCTGTCCATTTCATTTTTTCTGCCTGAGTGAAGTATTTTACATTTCTTTTCATTGAAATTCATTTTGTTAGTTTTGGGCCAGCTCTCTAACCGGTTAAGGCCATTTTGAATTCTGATTCTGACTTCTGGAGTCTTAGCTATTCCTTCCAATTTGGTGTCATCTGCAAACTTGATATGCATGTCATCTAAAACTTCATCTAAGTAATGAATAAAGATGGTGAACAGTACTGGGCCCAGTACAGGACCCTACAGCACCCCACTAGTTATTTCTATTCCAGGATGAAGGGGAATCATTGGTGAGCACCTTTAGGGTTCAGTCACTTAACCATATTCCAAGGACAAAAATTAAGACACCTCTCTCCCTCACAATATAGATTTGAATCTATGGTGCATGTGCCATTTGTTACCTGCAGGTAAGCAGGTACTTTTGCATGTGTAGTTCCTCTCTTTGCGTCTACAAATCCAATGATCCTTACAAGCTTCCACAATATACCCTTATGATTAATATAGCCCTGTGGAAGGAGGATGCTTATGGGAAAGAGAATTTAGTTGTGGAAGATTTGTGACAGATATAAAGAGAATCTGTTTTGCACAATGCATATGGAATTTGCCTCCTCAAGAAGAGATGATAGCTGCCCGTCTGACAACTTTATAAGAGGATTAGATGAAGTCAAGGAAAGTCGGGCCAGCAGAGTCTGAGTCATTATAGCTACATATCCTTTCCAGTAATGCAGACAATGTGTATGTGTACAATCAAATCACTAGTTGGCTTATGATTGGTTTCTTAAATCAGTTTGCTGGGGCACATGAATGGGAAGACATTGTTGTACTCTTGTCCTTGTGGGTTTCACATGGACAACTGGTTGGCTGCTGTGTGAACAAAATGCTAAACTAGATAGTCCTTTTATATGATTCAGCATGGCTCTTCTTACCACCACAAAGGCTTTTATTCATTGCTTATCTATCCAGCTCTCTTCTTTGAATGAAGTCCATGTGGCATACCTTGGGTTATCTCCATTTCCCCTCAGCTATTTTCAGCATATAAATAATGTCAGCATGTGCTACTGAAGTTGGAGGAGAATTGTCTTTGATTTGAAAAGTGATTGTAAGTAGCATGAACAAGTTAGATAGAAGATGAGCCAGGCACATCTTTCTTTTATTTCAACTTGTGTAGTATAACAGAAGATCTGTTTTGGATCAGATTTTGTGAATGAGTCCTGAAGTTTCTCTGATGTCAATGAAATAGAAGATGAGAAGTAGCAAAGTGCTAATTCATGATCATTTCTGTTGGCAGTGTTGATGGCAGGGCTCCCTATCTGGCTTTGGGAGCAGTGAAGAACATTTCTCTGAACATCTCCATCTCTAACATTGGGGACGATGCTTATGATACCAACATAGCTTTCAACTTCTCCAGGGAGCTCTTCTTCATCAAAATGTGGCAAAAGGTAGGCACAGCCAGCTTCTTTGAAGCAAGACATATTTTTTGTAAATCTCAAGGGTTGAAGTCAATCAAATTAGTGGAATATTAATCACTTTCATGAGTTGCTAGGTATAACTAAGTGGGCTTGATCCTCCTGTTTAGATTGAAGTTGTTATGAACAGAAAGTTTAAATTAAGGAGCCTCTATTATAAGAAGGATCTCTTCAGATATAATTTGGTACATATATAGACCATCTTGTCACACAAAGCTTGTAAATTATTCACTGAAAGCATATAAGCATATGTGTGTGTATGTGTGTATGTGTGTGTGTATATATATATATATATATATATATATATATATATATAGTGTGTGTGTGTACATATACACCCTAATGGCCTAATGCATTGTTATTTTCAACATTTGAAGTTATTTTGATAATGAATTGCAATTGTTCATAAGTAAGAATTACATTTCTTGTTTATTTTAATAACGACTGGCTGTCCATTTTAAATAATCTTTTGTTGAATGATTTAATGGAGTAATTAATAAATTAATTGTATCAATTTTCCTTAAAATTTTAATTTTTTTATTCTATTTTCTTTGAATCCACTAGTACTAGCACTAATGTTCACAGGCTCTGTTCTCTCCTTTGCCAAATGCAGCAATTACAGGAAGATTCCATTTGTACCCTTATAAAGTATATGATGGTGCTGAAATTTTTTATATTCTGCATTGGAAATGGTGCTTGCTATTGTTTATATGTATGGAATGTAGTCAGTAGTGGGGTGGGGTTGTCCCCCAGCTATCATATCCACTTAGCATGTGGAAGGTTTTTTAATAATAATAACAACAACAACAGTGTTATGTCTCTGCTTGTAGTGTGTCTGCTCGATCTTCTTGCAGCAGCTGAGGATGTGATCTATTACTTAATTATATGTCTTACCTGCCTCCTCATGTTTTGCACAAATGTTCCATGTGAACATGGAACAAGAGTAGTATCTGTATGCATATAGGTAGGTCTATGTTTCTGTGCAGAAGTAGCATTTGGGATGATGCAAAAGAGGCAAGCATTTGGTTGGTATTTATAGGAATCAGGATGGTCCTGAGCGGCGGGAGACAATTGCAGACATTTCGTGGACAACTGCTAATTTAACATCAGACTTTATTGCCGATTCCACCTTAGATTGTGGCCAAGAACAACAGCTTTTGAAAACGGACAATTTTGCGGTGGAAATCGCTGATTTGATGATCAATAGAGATAGATGGACCTCAAAGAGGGCGGTCTGTAAATCTCTGGCAGAACTATTATCAAAGAGACCATCAGATTTCAGAGTGAAGGCCATAACTTGGTTACGTAGACACTATCAATAGTATGATCGCTCTAGTTGTCTTCTAATTACACCAGAAGACAATTCATGGCCTGGTGAGCTACTAGCGATTAGATCACGCTTAAAAAAGTGGGGCATTACCATCAGGAAGGTGTTTGTGGACCCTTGTGTTCGCCCCCTTGTGGAACCATCGCACCATGTACCATCTGGTTCCAATGATAAATCCACAATAGGATTATTATTATTATTATTTAAAATGACATTAAGATTGCCATGTACTCAAAATGAAATGACATGAAATCATGGAGGAAAAGTGTATAGATCAGTTTTATATCTGGGTGGGTAACTGTGGACCTCCAGATGTTTTCCACCTGTAGGTCCTATCACAGGTGGAAAATTACAGGAATTAAGGAATTACAGGAATTACAGGAAAATTACAGGAATTAAGGAAATTAAGGAATTTGCAGTTCACAAATGTCTAATGTGCCATAATTACTCATATCTGTCTTAGAACTTTTCTGTATATTGCTTACATTATGAGGCAAAGAACTGAGCTGTCCTTATTGAATCTTCAGGGACTTTCTTATGACATCCAAGTACCGAGGAATGCTGATGGTGCTTGCCTTTATGTCACTCTGAGAGGGGAAAAGGAGTTGCTGTCTGGCAGGCTTTTATCTCTCCTCTTATCTCTCTCAGACAGTAAACTTCTCTGCTTCTCACTTTGTCGGGGAGATTAGCTGAATGGCGTAACTAGAGATGAAAGTCTGGTGGGTAGTGATTCCCCTTCTCCTCTCAGGGTGACATCATGACAACCCTGTAGCTTTCCTCATTTCCTGAGAATTCGGATGGCTTCCCATGAGCTGTCCAAATCTCCTGCCTTTCACACAGTAGATGAGTGTGTGCTTTAGATCTGTAATTTCCCCCCTTTAGAAGTTTTGGCTGGTCTACATAACCACATATCTAAAGATGGTCAGGACTGTCTGTCTGGATAAAATAAAAATAGAATTATCTTAATTGGCCTTATGAGAATAATGATAAAATGTTCTCAATGGAAAAAAACCCTCATTTCAGTAAAGGACTTATTTAACAACTCAAGAGGAAAAGCCTGTTTTTCTTGTATTGCCACCTGAAATGCATGTTCAGCAGAGGGAAAGACTCAGAATGAGGACCACCCTGGCAGTCCGGTTTATAATCTCCCTCGAATAGCTTTCTTGATATATAGTAACCCACCATCCAATTTGGTTTGTTTTTTTCGTTTGCCTGCTAAGCTCTGCTTAGTAGATTAAATGTAATAGGCTTTCATCAGCGACAAGAAGTAAGGACAATAACCGACTCTTTGTTCCAAGTGACTTATGTAAACTCCTGGAAAAGTATGCTGGGTATATAGACACTAAACATCTCATATTATTATTTAAAGAAAAAATATATGCCCCAGCTCAGTAATTATTAGAGTGGCATTTACTTTCCATGCAAGTGTTATTGTTGCTGGCTCTCATTTCCTTTAGACTCTGAAATTTCATGAGCCGTGTTAATGACATTTCTTGGCAGGAGCCTTGTTCCTCTTCACTGGGGTGAGAAAGGGCACACTGACTGATATTTAAAAGGCTTCATTTTTGAACTGTTTCATTTTCCCCTCAGTTTGCAACTGGTCAGCAAGAGTGCCATGCTTCCAGGCGGAAAGGGTGTTTTGCATAGCTATAAGACAACAAAACATTTGCTTGCTTCTCAAAAACATTTTCATCCTTCTTTCTTGGCAAAAACCTGTTTTTTTCTCAAAAATCAAATTCATCATTCCTTTACGAGGACTCTGTTGATCCATATTGACAAACACACACATTTACTTTTCAACAATGCCACACAAATGGATCAACTGGTTTGCCTGAATTTTTGCAAACGTTTTGGGTATATAGTTGTGGGAAACTATTTTAATAAGTATCCCCATTTCAAAATTTTACTATTGCACTGACATTTTTTGTCAGTTTCTATGTCAGAATATGTCGTAGGTATCTTAGATATAAAAGTACCTGCCTTTCCTCAGAATGCTTCTGGGTGGATGTCAGTGAACAATACCTTGGAGAGGCACTTTTAGAAATTATTCATGTAAATAAAAAAGGTATATAATAATTACGCATTTCCAAATAAAGAATAATTTCATTGTATTGATGGAATTCTTTTGAAATCCAGTCACATAGGACTAATTTCACTGAATCTTATAGATGTATTGCAGCCGAAGTTCAGTAGATAGTTTATCAAGGATCTAGAGATTTTTAAGTTTACATATAGTGGTTTAATGAATGTTGCAAAGCTTGAACAAAGAATTTGAGACATAGAGTGACAATACAATAAGTCTGCTTATCAGATATCACCATTTTATGTATGCATTTGCAGATCATTTGACTAACCTGACATTATCCAAATTCAGAAAAGCTTTCAGTGCTACCCTCATGTAATGTCCTACCCATGGCAAAAGGTTTAATTAGGTTCCATGTCAGGAACTCTTCTACTCTTACTGCAGAAATTGAAATTATAGACATGTCCAACTATACTTTCACTTCTATTGTTATAGTAGTAATTTTGTAAAAAATTCCAGGATGAATAAGTGATTCCTGGATTTGAGAAAAAGTGATTTGGTGCTTCCCATAGTGCTTTAGAAACTTGGGGAGATTTATGTATTACTGTACTGTGTCATTCAAATACATCATGTGTTTTAATATGCTGGTCTTCATCCTTTAAAAAATCCAAATAATGAAATACTTTGAAATTCAGACCATGGTTAGTTGAATCAATATTTTAACTGTTTGTCTAAAATTGTTTTAAATAGTTGGAACTGCAGTGACCAATGCTTAATCTATTGGAGTACATTGCTACTGAAAGTTACAGGACTATGTTTGGTCATTATGGGAGGAAGTAAACTTTGAAATCGGTGATTTACATCCAAATTGGGAAACCAGACTCCTTTGAAGTAAGGCCTTGCTTCTCTCAATTAAACAGCCTAATGCCCCCTCTGTAAGTCATTAACAGCAGTCAACCTTTAATGGCCTGGTTCCTTCCTCCGTTTTTGAAAGAGCAGAAGGCAGTGACCTCTGGGCTTGTTTTTTTTTTGTAACAGAACCTAGACATATGTTGACTTTTTCTAGAAAGGTACTGACTCTTTCACACTAGAGAATATTTTTGTTTTAAAGCATAGCTGTTCAAATGGTACTAAAATTTAAATGGTACCCTGATGTGAAATCCAGAGTGAATGAATTTGAAAATAGCCTGGGTGGAAAACTTGTTTTCTTAAGACTATATTTCTGTTTTTGACATTTGGAATTTAGATTTCCAGGTTGACCTTTCCTTATCTGGAATTCCAAAATTGAAAATATTCCAAAATCTCAAGTAGTCCACATGGGTGGCAGTGATAGTGACACCTTTACTTGCTGATGGTTCAATGTACACAAACTTTGTTTTATGCACAAAATTATTTAAAATATTGTATAAAATGACTCTCAGAATATGTTTATAAGGTGTACATAAGACATAATTGAATTTCATGTTTAGACATGGATCCCATTTTCAGAATTTCTCATTGACTACAAGTATTCCAAAATTCTAAAAATCTAAAATACATCTGGCCTCATTTCAGATGTTTCTATTTTTATAGTATAATTCCCATATTGAAATTGCCTTGCTGAACTTGGATTTGACAGACATC